CACCCATGGTTTTTCCTTCTGTCACAGAAGGAAATAAGTTCCTTCTTTACATCAACACAACTTTCTCCTACTGGACCTAAAAAGAGTAAAATCTACCTCAATTACCTTTTTCAATCTGATCTAAAATTCCAAAATCTAAAGAGGTAAAGCATAAGAAAAAAAATTAACTTTTTCTTCAAAACAAAAAATAAAATATATAAAAGTATTACATTTTGGATCTCATTTAACATACATACTATTTTAGGATTCCACTCATATTCTTCATCATTCTTATTATAGAATCAAACAGTGTTATCACACATTAGTACTCAGTTGACATTCTATGTACTTATAATTTAAATTCCTATATAAATGTCCACATAATAATCCAGATTTCAATGCTGAGAGGTAAAACTATCTCAGTAGTATGGTAAGGATTCACTGTAGCTAGAAAAAAATACATACCTTTACATTGTTATGTCAAAATTGTGAGATCTAAAGAAGCGGGTTTGATAAACGCAAAAAATGCTAAGAAATTATTGCTCAAGTTTGACTTGAAATCTGAAACTTATACAATTTCTGATGAGTAACAAGTTCTTTCTTCAAGTGTTGTGCAAAGATGGAAGAATATAACAATTCCAAAAATACAGAGTGATCTGATCTACAAAATGGTATGGGTCGTAGAATGACCTCATGAAATGGATTTTTTTCATTGGATTATTTCAGTGAGGCGAGGTTTTAAGCTATTGATTCTTACAAGACATAATTAACACTTTTCTGCTGTTTATCTCATGAACCAGAAGAATTTTGTGTTTACTTTGGTCCAAATTATTTATTGAATGCTTATTCTGTTTACATTATGTCAATTAGTCACTATATGATGACTTAGAGAGAACTTAAATTTTCAGAATTTGGCTAAGGAGCACAACTATGAAAATACCAACATCAGAAATAATTTTATTTTTTTTCTATCAAGCTTTCCACTTCATTATATATTTCTCCAAAAGTTTCCATCCTCCATTGCCTGGCTGAATTTCCCCTAAGAGAGACAGTGCAGTTTCACTCAGGGAAATAGCAAAATGGACACCAGTGTCATAATAAAATCATTTTGGACTAATAAAAAGTTTGCATAGTAATGGTTCAACCAACCATGCTTTTTCCTAGCAGTTAATTTTGATGCAGTTAAACATTATCCTTTAAATTAATCAATTGCTGATTTATTGATGACAAATTAGTTTGATAGTAAATGTATCTATATGAAGAATATAGTAAAAAACTACTAGCAATTAAGTGCAGTATGTCACACAAACATTAAAGATAATATAACATGATACAAGTTCTATTAGGAGAAATAAGAGATACAATTTTTATTGAACTACAGTCCAAGTGCTCTTGAGCATTTACTGATCAGGAAACCTGCAATATTCTGTTCTGGAATTCAAGTACTTTTTTTTTTTTTTTGGCTGAACTCCTTCTTTATGATATAACAATTTTTCTGGTTCCAGTTGAAAGGTAAAATAAAAAATGTCAATAGCATCATCAATGGGGCAAAAATATTAAGGCCTTTTTTTGAAAATGAATCAGGTGCAGATATTGAACTGTACTTTTTCATCCTTTGTCTCACTTTTCAAATGATAATTTCTTCCACAGCCACCATTAAATCTTGATCTATTCCAGCTCTCTGTATGGGTCATTGATTCTAGATGTACCATGGTTATTTTTAAATGTTTCCCTTTCGTAGAGAAAAAGAGGGCTGTCTAGAGCCAGATGGGTAACTTCACACTTCATTTATCAAACCCAATGCATTAGACTCCACCCTCTCTTTCCCACTATTGCTGTTAAATTTCCATATAATTTGGTAACAATTATCATTATCATACAGTGACCCTAAAAAGTCCACACAAGTTTGCATGGTTAGTCCAAAATTCACAGCTGTTCCCTTTACCCTCTATTTGTTACAGTAGAATCTAAGTTTCCCCTACTTTATAAGCTGAACAGTGACCTTCTATAAGCAGAGGTCAAGAAGAGGTCAGTTCAAAGGGCTAGAGCAGCTCTTTAACAGCTATAACAGCCTGTCCATCAGGCACTATCAGGCAGTATAAACAAATCTGGGGCTTTAGAAACTCTGGACCATTTCTGTTAACACTTAGAGGACGTTCACTGAGTCCTACCTGAAGTATTTTGGATCACTACCACTCAACACAGAACAACTTGGATCCCTAGAAGTCCTGCTCAGACACTTTAGATACTGACTTTTGAGTCAGAAGTATATGAAACGGTGAGTCGTAACACTAAGTGCACTACCATGTGTTTTGGACTGTGGAACTGAAATAAAAACTTAAAGAGTAATTTCAGTTTGCTAATATGCAGAAACACTGGTACAACTTAAAGCGAGTAATGCAAGGATATGCTCTAACCAAGTAGATACATATCAAAACAATTTATATGCCTTTCTCTGAGAAAGGCTAAATTTCCAAAAGTCAAATCAGTTTGTATTGACAGTTCGCAGCATGTATTTTTTTTTTTAATGTAAGGTGCCAATGACATAAATAAAACCCATGAAAGAACAGAATGCCTACATTACTGTACAAAGACCAAGTACAGAGTAAAGTTTTTGCCAGCTGCCCTCCCTTCACTGACCTAAATTTCTTGAAGTTGTACTGTTCATAATGTGCTCTCTAATGCACAATGTAAGGTAATTAGAGTAATCTGTATTTAACTTCCAGAGGAAAAAAAATTCTATTATCTAATCTAGCTGATCCCCTGATAGCCTGTTGAAAGTAAAATACTGTAACCTATTGCCTGCCCTTTGACAAGTGCTAATTATTTCCTGTCCAAACACATTTTTCTCATGTAATTCCAAAGTACACAATAGACTGATCTCTAAAACATGGGCAGCCCTGCTAGTACCACGGCGGACGTTTTATAACTTTCACCACCGTATGCTTGATGGCTACCACAGTCAGTGCTTCATTCCAGACATCTAGCTGAAGCTTTGATGAAGTAAAGTGAGGTGTATGGTAACAGTCTGTTTATGCAGATCATATGGATGAGACTCTCAGATAGGTCACTGGAATGGGAAACATCAAATGGAAAGAAAAAGGATTACGGATATTTAATACTCAAAGGACACTTTCTTTCAGAACTTTCAAGGCACAATGCTCTTGAAATTTTCTTTCAGGTGTTTAGTCTTAAGAAGGCCTGCACTTTGTCTGCTTGTGCCTCTCCCCACCCCCACCCAAGAACATCAGCATTTCTGTGTCTGAGACTAGACTACGTCTACAACTGCAACACTGGCTCCAGCCTCCGATTACACTGCGAGCAGTGAGCAGAGGCCAGAAACACTGTAAGCCACATCACTTTTAAATGAGTCCCAATTGCCGTGATTCCTGATGACTTTGTATATAAGGAAATCATTGTTAAACTAAACAAACACTGAAAAGATATTCCACTCATTAGAATTGTTTAGACTTTTCTTATCTCTAAGAAGCCTTCTATTCTGGTTCAGGAGAAAGATGCACTTGTCCCATGGAAAAGCATTAAGTGATTTCCTCTGTTTCCAGTGAAGCCAAACCATCTTCATTATTTAGTAAGCATGGTGATGGAAGACAAACAACATTCCCCCCTCCCCTTAAATTCCTCAAAAAGGAAGAAACAAAACTCACATGATATACAATCACTACTGTAGACCCACCTTACTAAGCTCTTTTCCACTCTGAGATCTTAACTAATTAGTATACAAATAACCATTCCCGGCTCGCAAGAGCACAAACTTATGAAACTCAATCGCTCATTTGTATAAAACTTGCTACTATGTAATAATGTTTAGGTTTTAAGTACAGCTTCTAAAATGTTTCAAGTCCACTCACTGTAGTTACTGGGAATGGCAAACACACTCAAGTGTAAGATCCAGTAACTACAATTAATTTTTCAAAGTGAATCTCATAGAATTTTCACGAACTGTCCAAAATGATACACTAACAAAACACAGAACTCCCTTAACTGGAATAATCAGTGCAAGTAAAAAAATCATGCCAATTAAGTGCTAATTTTGATTAACAAAATCTCATTAAAAGAACACTTTCGACTAAAAACTGCATTTAATTGCAAGCACAGGGCATCTCCTAGTTTTAAAAGAAAGCTGTATGTTTGGTAGAAAAAAATTCATGGACTTAGATATTTAAAGTAAATATCATAAGTAAGAAAAAAATATATTAAATGAGTATAAATCTACAGCTGTTAGAAATAGATGTGAAAAAAGGTGACAACTCATTTAGCAGCTAGAGGGAAGGACACAAGGTGGCATATGGTGGGAATTCTCTTTTTTGCATTCACGTATTTCTGAATGAACTAGAAGTGTGATGCACCTGTAGCTTCTGAAATGCATTCATCTGACTAGATTCTAGTAACAAACTTTTTCAAATAAAAACATAAACAACCTCTTAAAATGGCTAACAACATCACCTGTTTTATTACCATGGCAAGCATAATAAAACAGTCACATTATATGAACTAACAAAATGTACATTTATGCCAATCTCACCCAACACTTAACACCAGTAGGACGCTATGAGAAAATGTGAGGATCATGAAGAAAGCAGACAAGAATAACACCAGTAGGACGCTATGAGAAAATGTGAGGATCATGAAGAAAGCAGACAAGAAGGGTATCTCTTAGCATGGCATGCCAGCAAGGAGTATTGCTCACATTGTTAGCAATATAAGAAAAAACAGGGCATTTAAGGTGATACCAATATATACATGCTGCCTATCAAGCTATTATCAGCAGACACTGCTATATAAGCACAGTAAGGGAGCATTCTACCCCACAAAGTAACTCTGAAGTCAGAAGCAGAAACACTGACTATTCCAGTCAATGAAAAATACAATTTGAATGGTAAAAATTTTGAATTCTTTTTAAAATGTCAACTTGCCCTCCCCCTCTAAGGGGTTTTATAGGAGTATATTTGATATAATTGTTTCTAATTTCATTATCTTACTATTTCTCAAAAATTTCTCACCTTGCTGTCCATTCTTTACGCAGCTTTTGTCGCTCAATAAGAACTAGCAAGAAGCAGCTGATAGTTTCCTTCCTTTGTTTCTCAATTTGTTCCTCCTTTCTAACTTCAGAGAGGACCAGGCCTGTCTGAAAGGAAAAAAACACATAAAAATTATAATCTAGAAACAGGAAACAATGTGTAAAATTAATAAAAAGCCCATAAGCAAATAAGGACAGTAAATCAATAGCTTTTTTTATTACAGTTCCACTGCTGACAAATCAATACAGTAAATGATGGTTAGAAATGGCCATCATATATTTGGTATTTGATCAATATACATGGCACATAAGGTAAAATTTAAAATCTCATTGCCTTAAGTAACACAACAAGACATTGTGCATTCTAGCTCTCATTTTCTTGAGACATAATGATTTTGTTTTTACAATATTTTCTTGTATCAAATGATATCAAAAATGTTTCCCTCAATACAGCATTGGGGGATTTCCCCCTCCCCTTTGATCCTTGGTGAAGCTGAAGAAGAAAATACCTGTTTGAATTGCATCTTCTGAAAGGAATTCTGATGATGTCCCTATGTTCTCTTTATCATTAAATATTTCAAGAAAAAAAGTAGTAAAACTCTACCGTTTTTCATTTATGGAATTAATTAAAAATTGCTAAAATCTACAGATATGCAAAGGATTTAAGTCATTTGTGAGGTAGGATGACACTCAGCCTCTGGAGACCAAAAATTACTGGCCTTCCCAAATGTTGTGTCAACAGCCAATGTCGATGTAATGAAATGGCAAATCTTATAATCCATTCACCCAGCAAGCCAACTCCAATTCACTCACTCTATCTTTGCATTTAACTGCTAATTCACACACTATTTTCTCCTCTTCTTTCCCCTACTCTTCCCCATGTCTGCCAGCTTGGGAAAGAAATGGAATATGCTGATGCTCACACAACTAACACATATGTCAACCAGTGCACACGTGCTGACTTGATGCAGAGCAGTCCAACCGCAACAGAGATTTAGAGTCGATGCTGCAGTCTTTTCCTTCAGTGAAGATATTCTATGTGCCTTCCTTGCCTTAACGAGCCACTGATATTCACTTAATTATTTTTGCTAGTCTAACCTTCAATCACATATTCTGTAAATGTATCAAAGTATCTAAATGCTTTTTGGAAGGATGACTGAATGGACAAAATACTTGCACAAACTTTCTCTTTTCACGGAAGAAGAGGAAAAAAAATACATTTCTAACTTGAGCAGTTGTGGAGGTGACTTTGAAAACACAACACAAACACCACCAAAAGATGCAATTCCTACTCACAGTATGGCCTCTCTTATAGGATCAACATGACAAAAAGACATGGCATATTGCCTCCTCCTCAACACCATACACATTACATTCTGCTCTGGTCAAATGTACACCCACTAAAATTCCTCTGGGAATTCTGCGAGATAAATGGTTGTTATTATCTTCAGTTTGTGAAAACAGGAAGATCTACTCTTGGTCTGACAAGGTGGTTTTTTTTTTTTCCACGAGAAAGAATAATACGCAGATCATATACTTTTAATGCTATGTAAAATAGTGGTAACATTGCTACCACCATGGTGGCTCCAAGAGACAAGCATGACAGAGTTCATAGAGAGAGAAAATAATTTTATTACACTAACATCGGATGACAAAGAGCAAAAAGCATCTTTCTCCCCACCTCCCAGCTCTATCAGTTAGCCTACCAAAAGGCATTACCCCATCACACGGGACTTACACATCAAAAAGAACATTTCCTTGTAAAAACCCAAAATGTTCAAAACTTTGTCTATACAGATCACATTCTTGACCCTGCTTTGACATTACAAAGCAAACAAAAAGCCAGAGAGCATTTTCAGATAAGGATTCCCTGACATGGGTTTCCCTTGAACTGACCTACAACATCTTTTCCACAAGCTCTAATATCCTCCAACTTCAACAATCCTGATCTTACAGCCTCACTTCCAGCAGCTGCACAGTTTAAAGCAGGGTTTGATACATACTCACATGAGATGAAGAGATGTACAGTCTTTAATTGACTATATTGTCAATTAAATTATATGTAAATTAACAGTCCTTGTCATTCAAATAAATATACCTATTAAGACTTTAACTTTTATATTTACCATGTGCAAGACTTGACATAGCACTATACTTAAAGCTTTTCTCTGTATTCTAGGCTGATCAGACTGTAGCCATACAACTAAGTCACAGTACACCAAGATTTCCCTTTCAGAAACCTTAGATGGCCTTATTAATCACAATGGGATAGGGAAATCCAGTGGTAGTCTACTTCTCTCCAAGACTGCAGAGAAGCCCCAAGTTTAATGATGCAATGCCTCACAAAGCTGAGGCTATAGTTATTTGCTGGGAACAAAAGTCAAGATCCCCTAAATCAGTGATTCCCAAAGCGCAGAGTGTGGAGAACTGATAGTTCCTATAGAATTTTCAGTTAAAGTCTGATGAAAAGATGATGTGATTAGAATACCATCAGTGAGAGAAGACAGGTGTTCACTTCTCCAAGTATTCACAATCACATAAGGCTTTTGTATGAATTCTGATGGCCTGGCCAAATTGCAAATGAGTTCCACCATCTAAAGTCCTCCCCATCTACAGGAACATCATAATTCTGGAAATTGAACATAATTTATTTTTTATTGAGAGAACAATTATATTGCTCCAGCCTTCTGTTAACACCATTCATTTATGTGGTGATGTACAAAGTTCAAGTCAAACTCATAGTTTGACACTGACATCATAAAGGCTTCTTTACTGAGCCTTGTGAGTACAGTTGCAGCTACCTGGAGGGTGAAATAGTACCATTAAGCAACACACAGCAACAATACATAGCAATTTAACCGATTTTTAGAATTGTTTTCTAAGAGTGCTGAGGGCAATAAGGTTACACAGAAAGTAAGTGCAGGAATTGATATATAGCTTTTATAGAGGCATTTCTTAATAACTTCTTATTCTTATCATCTCACTAAAATTCCCAAATTGTAACAAAGAAAGCAACATTCTGGCTAAAACAATATTATAAAACACGTTCCTTTAAAGTTTTCTTTTCCATGTAACTTGTTTTGGGATTTAATTTTAACAAGGGGACTCAATATATACCTTGACTGATAAAGGTCAAGGGTTCAAGAAACTTGGTCAAAGATGTTATCAGCTGGGAAAGCCATTTCCTCACATCAACACTGATAAAAATCCATCAGAAACCCAGCCGATACCACCCCTGCTCTAAAGGGCTGGAATGACCTTCTTTTGAACATCATTATAGTTGCACATCTCATCAAAGAAAATCTGATCTTGTGTCTCAATTCTTTTAATGTTCTTTAATGACAGATAATTGTCTGCAGAGGCCCCTTTTGCCCAATGTTGAGTGAAGCCTTCACATTTCTGAACTGGACTCAACACTGACTCAGTGTTTTTCAGCACACTTGGGACTGCAGGACAGTAGAATAAATAAACAATGTAACCAGCCCTACAGCCTGTCTTATCTCATCCTTGTGTTCACAGAGACTCTTGAGGGTGGTAATGTTTACAAATTGTTGAAACTTTCTTTCTTCTGCTTCCTGAGCTGGCAAAAACATATCCTGGACAACCTAAGCAACGAGATTACGCAAATTGCTTATCACTTGAGGGAAGCAACTTCTTGTCTCACTGGCCAGCATGTCTCTTTAATAAGTAGTACTGTTAATATTTTGAGCAAATTTTCCCCAATTCTCCTTAAAGATCTATTAATGTATTTAGGGCATTTCCTTGTAAATCCCAAACGGCATGGTCTTAAAAACAAACACACAACCTACCTATCAAAAAAGCCCAAAGCTATATATGCATATATATATTGTTGCCAATCCTTTTATGTTAAAGATAGTATTTAGGAAATTGCACAATTTATCTTCCTCATGGTGCAGAGGCAGAACTAAATCTGGTGCCCTACTGATGTATCAGGCAACAGTCATCAGAATATCTTCTCTTATTAGGTAAGAAAGAAAGGTATCAGGATAAGATTTTAAGAGACCAATATCATATTCTTCTCATTCCCGCTGACAAAATAGATCAGTGACATGGTACTGAACAGAAACGGTTATAACCAAGTCTTACTATTCACCCAGGACACACACTGAAAATTAGATACCTTTTATGAGTCTTAACACAGCTAACCTAGCTATTGTAACAGGATCACAATAGTGGGGTTTTTTTGGTTTTTTTTTTGTTTTGTTTTGTTTTTTTTTTTTTTTTTTTTTTTTTTTTTTTTTTTTTTTTCTTAGATACACAGCAAAGAAACTGTTTCAACATCAATAGGCCACTACTCTGGTTAACTCTATGTATCATGGGTGAATGCCATGACATGCTTACAAACAAGCGAAAAAAAAGTGCAACCTCTTAAACACTACAAAACCCTCGCTGGTACATTTTTAGTCTTTTAAAGCTAGATTTTCTGTCCTTCAATACAGACCTCTTGAGGAGCCAGACTTAAGGTTGGAAACATTGTACAGCTGGAGACATGAAACCTAGTATTCTGTCAAACAAATTAGCCTTCAGTCTGAACTAAAGTGGCACTTAGGACAGTTTGTCTCTTGGTCCTACTTTATTGGATCAACAAATCAGATTTTTCACTCTGAGTTAAGGTTTAATTTACTTGCTACCAGTTCAAATAGAATAAAAGCTTCTGAATCTTTACTAACCGCTTGTACTTCAATATAGCAGTCATCTCTCAATAATCAATAACTAATACAGAAAGGAAAAACAAAGTGTAAAATAAGTAAACAGGATGAATGTTTTAAGTGTTGTTCTGTATCCTCCTTGTTATTTTTGTGATTTTATTTTGCTTTTGGTGCAAAAAGTATCCTGATGAAATTCTGCAAAACTGAAAGACTGTGCCTTTTGCAGGGGGGTGAAGGGGAAAGAACCTGAAATCTATTAAGGCATATTAATTTCACATGTCATAACTTCTATGTGATAAAAAAGCTAGTAATTGCTTACAAACCACTGCTTATTTCTTACTCACTTTTAAAATTTTTTACTTAAAATATGAGGAAATGTACCTATTTTCATTAATACCATGGAAGCTGTCAGTATGGTTTAAGTTATCACCCAGTAAT